TTAATGCAACCTCTTCTAATTAAAATTGAAAAGCATAAATCATAGAATGCTTTGGGTTGGAAGGGGCCATAAACACCATCCAGTTCCAACCCTCTGCCATGGGCAGTGACACCTTCCACTAGACCAGGTTGCTCAAAGCCCCACCCAATCTGGCCTTGAACACTTTCAGGGATGGGGTGCCCACAGCTTCTCTGGGCAACTGTTCCAGTGCCTCACCAGCCTCACAGGAAGGAATTTGATCCTAATATCTAATCTAAACCTGCCTTTCAAGTTCTCCTTACTCTAAGCGTGCTGGCTCCTAGCTCTTGTGAGACTACTGTGTCTACAGTCCCATTGTTTGCTGCTGGCCTTGGCTTTAAACACAGGGGCTAGCTTGATTTTTAATTTTTTTTAGTACTATGTGAATTCTGCAGGTCTATTGATTTTAATGAGGACTGATTTCATTTTTTGGGATCCCAGAGAACTTACGGCAGGGATTAGAATACCCTGGAATATTAAACCTAATTTAAATTTAACTGAAATTGTCAGAATAAATGAATAATTGAACAAGGTATGTTTTGTGAAACACCTGAGGGATTTTCTTTCCCTGCTTTTATACTTACTAATTTGCAGACAGCACTTACCTGCATTGAGACTCTGGAGTGTCATTATTCTGCTGCAGTTAATACTGGTGGATAACTGCAAATAGCCGTTCTTCTTCCTTCTCTTTCCCCAAAGCCCCAGTGGTCTCCATTTATAAAATAGGGATGGCAGTGGTGATTTCTTTTCATAAAGGTTCTGATGAAGATTTAGGCACTCATATATTGAGTAAAGGCACTAAAGACAAGGCGAAAAAGTTGCCGTTACTTTGCATTTTTTGCAGTGCAGACATACAGGTGTTAATGACTCCAACCTATTTCTTCCGTGCTGGAAACTGATCTCTGTTTTGGGAAGAGGAGGAGGATGATAAAGACTTTGTTCCTTTCAGTGCTTTCATTTAATTTTCAGCTCTGCCTATTACTTTTCAGTTTGCCTCTTCAATAAATTCAACCTGCCTCTTTAATGGATTTTAACAATGGGGTTCTGTCTGAAAAAATTTGCAGACAACTTTTTTGCAGACTAATATATAGTTCGTTATTATTTTCTTGCCTAGTATTTTTTTTTCATAAATAGATCCAACTCTTCTTTATGTTTTACCATTTTTCTGTTATGAAGAAAAAAACAATTTCTGTCCCCTTTAGTTTCAGGTGAGACCTGGGAAGGACGCACAAAAGTTGGTGAAATAACTGAATGTGAAAAGCACACTGACTGTTGGCAGAGAGGTATCTGGTGCAGAGCAAATAAATTTAAAAAATACAAAAGGAATTTTTTTCCAATCTCACAGCAGATACTGCAACAGTATTTTCATGTGACCCAGTAGGTGTGTGACAGTACTGTGGTAACCTAAGGAAATTGATTTCTTTGTGTATCTTGGTGATCTTAATCCTCTAAAGATATTTTTAATCCCTGTCAAACACTGGTACACTTACTTCACTTAATAGCTATAGAGTTTAGTCTGTTTGGACACACAAAAAAAAATCCAGTGTTTTCTTAATTACCATAATTATATGGTAATTTTTAGATCCTTTTCACATAGCTTGTACATGGATAACACATGCTGAATCAGAGAACCTATTGGATGTAAATAGTTATCTGTCAAGCAGTAAAATTCTGGGTGTTTTTATTACCATAATATATTGATTGTAATAAGTGGCATTCATTATGACATTTCAGTCTGTGCTGAAAGCATGTATAATACAATACACCATTACTGCCAAGCAGGGAATTTGAAGGTTTCATTTAAGTGCACAGTGACAGCTCCCCAGGTTGCCTCCCAGGTACTGATTTTGAAAAATCCATTATATATGTAGAGATGATATAGCAGCCTTTTTCTTGAAGAGCTCCTCAGGTTTCTATAAAGAGAGCCTTAGATTAATTACTTTTACAAGAATTATAAATTATGTCCAAAAAGGCTGAAATCCTTAAGCAGAAACTTTGTTGGGGTGGACTTGGTATGACAGGTGGGCTGGAACAGCATCTTGTGGAAGTTTGGGACACTCAGAGCAGTGATAGCTCCTTATTGACATACATTTATTTTCCCTGGGATCTACAAAGCCTGGCGTGGTGAGCAGCTTCTCTGCTGCTGAAGATGCTAAGGTAGGAGCCCTGATGCATCCAGAACTATCTGTAAGACCTGCTTGAAGGGCAGAAATTATCCTTTTCTTTAAACATTTGACATTGTTGCTTTTAAAAAAACCCTGACTTATTAAAAGAAAAAAGGGATGGGAAATTATTTTGGGTACTTGATTTCCTTCAAAACTGTGCATTTTCAGTACATAGTCAAAGGATTAGTCTGAGGAGGCTTGAATGTGGAAGTGATTCTGGGTGTATTTTTCTTCAATGTACAGCAACTTTTGATAGAACAATTCATAATGTTGAATTTCTTGATAATTTTGACATCCTCAGAAAACAATATTAAAAATCTTTCTATATATATCCAACTCAGTTACTTTGTGTGGCTTTGTAATTTCATGTATTTATTTGCTTTCTAAGATACAGTATTTGCTTAAAAGTTCCAAGGATGCACATGTGTTTTAAATTTTCTTTCTATTTTAGAAAATAAGCTAGCATTGCACAACTTTGTCACTGAAGCTGTATTCCCTACAGGACTTGCAGTATTAGCTGTGTTTGTATAATATCACAATTTAGCCTTTTCCTATCACATAGGTTTTTTCCCTTGTCAGGAAGAACTTGAAAAGACTGATGTTTTGTTACATTAATATACAGGCAGGGCAGCACAGACTAGTATTAAAAATGGGCATGCTGAAACAGGTGAAGAAAAGCAAATATATTTAGTAGATGTCATAATCTATATAAGTGCCCTTTTAAATTTCTGAAATTAGGTTGCTATGCTGTAATAACTATGAACATCACATAGCTATGCTCAACACCCGGGCTTTTGTAGCTTGGCATTTAGATTTGCAGATTCTAAAGTTCCCTGGTTTGTTTTCCACAGAAATGAAATACATTGTTTATTTATGGATAAATAGTAAGCTTCTATTGGAAAATACATAACCTGTGAGTGCAATAAGCAACCAGAAGGAATGATTAGGGCAAAAGGTGCCTGTTTGTATGGAGTAGGCAATAGACATCTACATGCTTTTATGTGATTCCTTATTCTTTGCTTTTTTTTGACTGTATAGGCAGACATTATACGTTGCTGCTGACAACTGGCAATTTCTGACTTCCCAGTAGAATTGGGTTTTAAAAAGATTTAGACGTGTGGAGTTAAATGTGGCTTCCTGAAGCCTTGTCTGGTGGAAGTAAATAGGAGTTTCATAGTCGGTGTCAGCAGGCCAACACTTGACATTTGTTGCTTTCCTACCCTTATGCAGAAAAAGAAACATGTATTGGGAAATCAGAGACTGAATCATGTTGGTGGCTGAAACAGTGCAGTACTATGTAAGTTTTGACAGACAGTTAGCAATTTAATTTCGAGTGTTAAGAAGCGAGGACACGTTAATGTTGGCGTTTTGATGTCTGTCCTTCTATCCGTCTGTGAATGTTCCCTCCCCAAGAGTCACAGCCTTGCTGGGATCTCAGTGTGCAGCTCTGACAGGAGCTGAGCCTGGGTGGGTCACTGCAGTCGCTGTGGGGTGGGCAGAGACTGAGCCTGGCTCAGAACCGCCTGTAGGTGCTGGGTCCTCAGTCCCAGGTTCACTCTGGAGCCTGTGTCCTGCTGCAGCACCAGCTGTTTGTGCAGGCATTGCCTCAGATGGCTGCACTGGGGAAGAGGAGTTGAGGAAGGGGGCTGGGAGAACCTAAATGCCTCATGGGTGAAGAGTAACATCCAGCATAGTCATGATAGTGTCTTAAATGGCATCTCAGCATATTGCCCATCACAAGTTATTGATTTGAAGTAAAAAGCAGAATGTGCTTTGTGTAGAGGAATGGGAATCACTGACATTCCTGAGGCTAGGACATCAAGACAACAAAGGGACATTAAAGCAAGTTACATACTGACCAAGGACAAAAAAACCCAAGCTTTGACATTTTTGATGGTTATTCCTGTGTGATAGCCTGTCAACTGCAAGGTGTTCAAGGGCTTGAATATTCATTATTTCAGTCAGTATACATTAATAGAAGCTGAAAAGTGCTTCTACAACATCAACAAAAGTACTTGTGTTTCCTTGGGCATTTACTTACCTCTCCCTGAGAACATGGGCACAAAGTCTATGTTCATTTGATTGCTGTAAAAAAATGGTAGAAGGCTTCCTATCCCCTCTCTTTTCATTTTGCTCAGTTCAATTTTTTATGAGTTATTGTTTGTGTGGAACGATTGATTCCGTTTAGAAAGAAGTAGAACATTCTGTCAAATGCTCCTGTTGGGTGCAGATTCACATCCACAGTGTGGTGCTAAGGCATTTCAAAGCAATCATTTTCTGGTTAAGACGAAAGTAATGCCATAGAGAGGGTTTTTGTGCACTTGAGAGGCACTGAAATAAGACTGCAAAACCTAAAACCAAGAGGATGCAAGTGTCACTTGCAGCATGTTGGATGCTGTAGATTAGTTCGGTATGACCTTTAAGAGGACTGAAAATCTATTTGATTTTGAGCTGCCTTTTCCTAGACAATATACAGACTGCTAAAATCCCAAAAAGAGCACAAAGCAATGGATGGATGTGAAAGGCAGATTAATTTAAATTAAAAATGCAAACACCATTTCTAACAGAATATGATTGACCATTGAAAATATAAACAGCCAAGAAAATGGCAGTTCATCTCTTGATGTTCTCCAGTCAAAACTTTAGTCAGGTGCAAGTTATGCCTTGGTTATGCTGATTTCCCAGGGTGATTGTGTGTCAGTCTTCATATGTATTATGCACTTGATATTTGTTATGATCATTTTCAAATTAAATCAGAAACTATAACATGAGCCAAATTGAAATAACTGGTATTCTTATTTGTCTGTCACTTCACAGGTACTACAGTGCTACCATTTTGCAGATGTCAGGAGTGGAAGATGACAGGCTTGCCATCTGGCTGGCTGCACTGACAGCATTTATAAACTTTATTTTTACTCTTGTGGGAGTCTGGCTTGTTGAAAGAATGGGTCGCCGGAAACTTACACTTGGTAGCTTAACAGGTGAGTGTTTTATTAGTGTATTGTATTTTCTTCATAATTATTAATGAAAGGAAAATAAAATTTCAAGTGCAATTGTTTTCAAAGTAGTCGTCTTTAAAATTACAGTGTTGATGCCATCTTCTCTCTGAAATCATACAGGTTTTCAAGACTGTTAGTAAAATACCACAGCTAGAGGCTAATTTAAAAGTGACAGCATGTTATTTTTTCAGGTTACTTTCTCCTTGAAGCCATGTTTTACTATGTTTTCATTCAGCTTTTTTTTTTCCAGTTTAAGGAATCAAATGCCTGGAACTTCACAGGTGGTTAGTTTTTAAATCTCATATGCAACTTTGGGCTTATTGATTGGAATTCAGAGCCATCTGATGAAGGTGTACCAGAGAAAGCATATTGAATAGCCATTGCAACACTTTGTAAAAAGTAATGCAGTTCTCTGCATAGTTACCTCAGATACAGTGCAGTAAATACCTTACATACATTAATGTGATTTTAATTCACCTCCTGTATGAGATATGCGAAGACAGAATTCTGGTTTTGTACATTTTGTCCGAATATTCAAACACCATAACTCATCACATAGTCTTTTCTTGAAAGCAGGTAAAGGCAGAGCAAGCGGCCTTCCCGTGATCAGTGTGTCCTGCTATTAGGATGGTAATTCCCTGCTTGGTCCTGCCTTATGTGTTCCTTTTTGCTGAAGTGATCTGTGACCAAAACTTGCCTCTGGCTGAATGTCTGGAAGGTTCAGATGTTTACAAGAACAGGGTTTTGTAAGGAGAAACTGTTCTTGCTCCACTTGAAATAATGTTCACAAGTATTTAGCTTGTAAAGGTTTAATGTCTTCATATTTTGTTCTGCTGTTGCTGTCAAGGATCCAGATTTCTAGTGTGCAACACAGCAGAGGGGGACACCAGCTGCCATTGCACTGGATGTGCAATTCCCAGCTTTCAGTAGAGTTAATCTACACTTGAGTATTTGAATGTTTATATAGGCAGAGCAGCACAGTTACTCAAAGCATGTTTCTCAAATTTTAAAGATGGGGGAAAAATATGTTACTTTTAGTTACTTTTAGTTCCACATCAGTTACAATATATCTCCCCTATAAGTCCTCCTGTGCCTCCAGACAGTCTGTTGTCTTGTCTTTATGTCGTGTGGATCTCTCCAGGCTCTCCAATGACACTTCTGATTCTTGGGTGCTGCCTCTCCTTTAATGCCTGTTGAAACAGAGTATTGATTGATTGACAGATTTATTATTTGGCCCCAATAATCTCATATATCTGGCCAGCCCCATCAGAGAGTTTATTGCTTCAGCTGTATAGCTGTGATAACCAATATGGACTTTTCATATTATCAGAGCTCATTGCTTTTTGGCTTTACTTAACATATTCAAAGGTAGCACATCTTAAATGTTGATAAAAATGTCTCTTACAAAGCATGTTCATCATGGATCAGAGGAGGATATAGCAATAAGACACAGAATTAACAATGGAGCATAATGCTCTACAGGGTTATTTGTTAATGATGTTTGGACACAAAGTAATTGTTTAGTAAAAGTGGTCTTTTTTTATGGCTGGTTGCCGGCCCTACGTCTGCAGTGTCACAAGCCAAGCTCTAGTGCTTGCTGTGGTTTTATCCTACAGTCCCTCCTTAAGGATAATACAAATAATGGCAGTCATGAAATCATACATCATCCCTCTGTACTGGTTAGATTTTGTCATGCAACATTTGATTTGGGTAGTGGTGGGTATGATGTGTTCTCCTTAGCAAGAGGGCTGTGTAATAGAATGGTCATTACTAAATCTACTGATGGATTTGTATTCTGTGCTGAGTTTTCTCACAGGGTAAACATATCTTACTGCTCTACTTTGGTTTGCATTTCTAAGGACATTACAATTTACACTGAGTTATTACTGGCAGCTTCTCTGGTCTTTGGGGAAGCCAGGTATGCCCCAGTGTCCCACTGCATAAAATGAAGACAAAACTACTGCTTTTGCCTGCTGCTGCAAGGATGTGGAGCTTTGTTTTTTTAATAAAGGCTAATTGATTAGATATTTATTAGATAAAAACCTAGAAGAATAATCATTAGAGAGTAACATTAATATTTTGATTAAAAGCTATATTTTGATTTGATTACTATAATTTAGTTTTGTAATCTTGTGCAACTTTTCCTGCTTTCTGAAAACATTTGGCAGACATGTTTTAGATTTCATTAATTATATCTTTATCATTCTCAAAATATTATAAACTTTGAAAAATTTGCCTTCCAGAATAGCATTATGAAAAATTATAGTTTCTGAAAATTTCTGAATAAAATTTCTGAAAAAAGCCCCCAAATTACTGATTTGTCTTAGTGTCTTGTCCATTTTATATTTTTCTTAATCTTATCTTTATAATTTCTTTATCTTTCTTCTACTCTTTTTCTTCAGTTAGTTTCTTTCTTCAAAGCTGTTAGCTGTTAGTTGGAAAACATGCAGGAATGACGACAAGTATATTATTAATTTTAGTTGTGTTTTCTTCTTTCCCTTCAGAAATTGTCAATTTGAAAGGTACTTGGGCATTGTAGAATTTGTATCTCTTTTTTTAACGGAGAGGATCTCAAATATCTTCAGGAAATTTCCTTTTTATTTTTCCCATCTGAGCTAATGATGTACTGTGATTGTTTGATTTTGTTCATCATAACAAAACGTCCACAGAATAAAAATATATTAAACTTCATTTGCCAAGTGTACATATTCAGAACTTTTCCAAAGAAACAAGGTATTTACAGTGATACTGGAAGTGAGTATATTTGATTAACTTAAAAGACAGAGCATATTTAGAATGAATATAAGTAAGATTATAGACCCTGTCTAAATATATTTGCTGTCTGGCATATGGCATTTGGAAAGTGCAGGACATCTAGTGCAATATCCAGCCTGCCCTGAAAACTGTGATTATTAGTGTACCTAGCAGCCATAGCTAGAAGAGAGCCCAGTATGGAATATTTTATGGTGGGAAGGTCCTTTCTGCACATACAGTTTGTGACTGAGTTTAAGGTCTTAGTTGCCTCTGTTCAGGTCAGTGTGTGGTACAGCCATTCCTGCCTATTGGCCATGGCTGCTGCACAGGCATATTCACAGACAACATTATTATATAAATCTTGGTACTTTAGATACTATTTTTATCTCTGAGAAACGTTTTCATATACTCAGTGTGTTTGTAAACTTTTATACAACACAGATCTCAATGTGTCATCAAGTAGCAAGAGGTAAAGTTTTATAAGTCTGAGTTTGAGGCAGTTGCAGTAGTAATGTGAGTAGTGAGGTTTATCAGTTTTCATTAAAATGATGCAGTATATTGTGTATGTGGCAAATAAGGCAGGAGTTACATTGCAGTGATGGCCTGTTGCACAAAGTGTGAACCTTTTTTGTCATTTTCCTCTCGTCATTTTGTTCAGCTTGTGCACAAGGAATTTGCTGGGGGAAACGGAAGCAAAAAGATGGAAGGGGACTTTTTCCCAGCAAATGTTATGTGTACTCTTTGAAACAAGATATGTTGCACTTTCTGGTGGTGTTTTTATGAAAAGTCAAATTTCCCTAGTTTCACAAAGGGAAGTGGAGTCAATGAAAAAGCTGATGCTACTTTCTGTTTTACAGAAAAGCCTGCAAGTCTGGGTGTGGGAATGGAGAGAAGTATGGTGATTTCAAAGCCACTAAAAATTCTACCTTTACAACATTATTTTCAACGTCAAAGACAATAATACCTGTTCATTCAAGCAGCTGTCAATTACACAGATTAAAAGAGTCTCAACCTACTAATTTGGTATCTGGACGTGAAAGCTGCTGTACTTGACTTTAATATCTAACCTAATTTAGGATGTGGATGTAGCAAAGGGTGTTTTTCTTAGGTTCTCATCACAACTCCTTAGGGAATGCTGTATTCATAGTGATGGGGTGCCTTGCTTTCCCAAGCAGAGCTCAGCTCAGTAGAGAACTATTTCATGTGCTCTGGTGAAAAGTGTCACATTGTTCTTTATCTGTATTTTTAGGTACTGCTGTAGCACTCATTATCCTAGCTTCGGGATTTTTGCTATCAGCTCAGGTCTCGCCAAGAATCACACTTAATCCACCAGATCCTTCACATCAAAACTCTACCTGCACAAAATACAGGTGAGATTTCATGGTCATTCATCCAATCTTCTTGAAGATTATTTCCAATTAATTGAGTTTTACAACCTAGTGTGAGTAATAGACAATTATTCACAAAGCCTAGTACAAGGAACTAAACTAGACAGCTAAATTAAAAAACCTAACTTCCCTCTGTAGAGAAAATTAGACTTTTTGATTAAATTCTCTGAGTATTCCTTTAGAGATTCTTGGACTAAATAAGGTGGTTAAGTGGCATACACCTCTTCTAACATATCACACCTGCTATAAGTTACAGTGTACAGAGTCAGGAGTATTTTAGAAGTAATTTATAAAAAGGCTTGCTGTTTTTCATCTGCTTGTCATGTACAGCGGCTGTAAACTCTTCAAGAAGATGTGTTCCTTGCCTGTTGTTTTCGTGAATGGGAAAAAGTAATGTTCAGATAATTGCATACCAATAAACAATTATAATAAAAGTGCAGGTTTTGACCTATTTTCCATATGCAGTCATAGTTTCAAATAACATTGCTTCTGGGGGTTTAAGAATGTGCAATTTTATTTTATGGGATTTATTGACGTGAGTGCTCTTATGTTCATTTAGCATTTAGAAAATTCCCTATCCAGAGAAGACTAGTTTGATGGCTGAAGAACTTCCTAATTATGTTCAAAATCTATCTTTTTGTAGTAGAAATAAATATCAAGAAATGGGAGGTACACTTCTAATTTTGTAGCAATATTGGCTAGAAATATGATTCTTGGCTTTTCTTATGCCAGAGCAATGTCTTAGGTGAAAGATTCTGAGGATCTGAAGATTTAAGGAAAACTGGGGAGGAGATGGAAGGTCTTCATTGAGTGTAAATATTTACAAATAACTGCAACCCAGGATACTATCAGATAGAATGATTCCTATATTGAAAATGTATATTTTTACTTGTTTTCTACTGCAGAGTCAGCTATAATTTGCAATTTTTGAGATGGGCCTGTCTACAAAATGGCAAGTAGTCTGGTTAAAAGAGGTAAAAGGGGAAGATGCTCTTCTTCTGGAACCAGATTAAAAGAATTAATTAAAAGGAAAGGATTACAAATTGCATTAAAAGAAAAGAAAATAGAAGGATTTGCCTAGTGCTTTAGTTAACTATTTGGAAAGGATGTCTGAAGAGAGGAGATGCACCTTTTGCAGAACTCATGATTTGTTATTTAATGAAGTGAGATGGTTAATGTAACCTGAAATGGTATAAAATTTACGTACAAGAAATATGGCTAGTTCAACTTATAAAGCAATGAAAAATATTGAACAGAATTTTCATGTTCGAGTTAACCACAGCCAGTCAGGAAGGGAATTTTCATGGCTTTCATGGTGTGCACTTCTGGGCAAAAGCATGAAAAATTAAAGCAGATAGTTCTCGTAAAGGTATGTTGTTTCATGAATTATTGGAAAACTTGTAATCTGTTGTGATTTCTGTTTCTGATGTGAAGTGGGCAAAAGCAGATAAGACAAAAATTCAAAGAAAAAGAGCAATAAAATAATTAAAATATTTTAATTTGAGAGTATTTTGAAATAGAAGGAGCTCTCTTCATTTAAAGATGGGAGTGAATGGAAGGGGAAATAATGAGCAACATATGAGAAAGCTTTAGGTGCTTCTATTTTAATCTTTTGCTGTACTTTAGTCAAGAGACACAAAAGGCAGGAGAGCTGAAAATAATAAATGGATGCATTTGCCCACAAAGCACAGAATTACGCTTCAGCACCCGGTATTTAAAAGGTTTGTATAAAAAAGTAGGGATTGATATGCCTAATAATAACTTTCACACTTGCATAGTTAAAAGTGTATAAATTTTTATGCCTCAAAACATCACCAAACTGTGATCCAGATGAAGCCAAAGGAAGAATTCCTTCAGCATCATGAATATTAGTATTAATTATTTCTGAAGGGTATGACATACAAGCATGTATTATATTTGACTTGGAAAAGTGGATACCTACCTTCATGTACATTGTCAATAAGCTGAATGAATATATAAAATACTGGTTTTGTCATGAGAAAGTAGACGGTGTTTTTGGCATTCCACTTGGGTTAGAAGAACTTCAGCATAACATGCATGGTCTTGGAAGGTAGAGGAGATGGGAGCTGCAAACCAGAGAAGAGCTGAAGGCTGAGCTTTACATTGTGACTCACCTTTCTCTCCTTTTTGGCCTTGGAGGTATTCCCCATGGCAGTTCTAAAGCTGGATCAAAAAGATTCCCAAACCTGAAGATTTGGAAGTAAAAGTCTACTCTGTATAACATCAGTCTTGCATATTTTCTTTGCTACTCTAAGAATAATGGCTTTACTGTACAGATACCTACTGTGTAGGGCAGCAAGTGTTGCTGTGGAGAGAGTTACAAACAGAATATCTAATCAAAGTAAAAGGAAGCAAATTTATGGCAGTAGTCCCTTGCTCTTTAACCCATATTTTGTCTTGTTCCAGTAAAACTGCTGGTGTCTCAGATTGCTTAACATTGTATCTTGCAAGTCCTCAAGAGGTCTCAGAAAGTTTGGGAAAAGCAAAAGGCAGCAGGACTTCAGAAGATGAACACATAATGCCATCTGCCCATAACTGCTTTTAAATATGTGCCTGCACAAAGGCAGCTTGTAGTTCTCTTCCTCTTATGGGGACACAGTGCTTCTCTGAGTTGAGGTAAACTTAAGTCTAAACCTGTTTGCAGCTTGGGCATTTCAGAGTGTGGGGGTGTTTTCTAAATATAACTCGTGTTTGTCTGTGTCAAAATGTATTTATAAGTTATGAAATGTCAGTAGAATTTATTTTGCTGACAGAAGTTTCACTGATACTGTGCAGAATAAAAATGCTTTTTATGTTAGTAAATCCATTGGGTTAAATAAAGTAAGTGTGGGTGTCCATTAAGGAACCCTTAGAGCTACTACAAACAGTCTGTTTGCTTGTTGTTCCTTCAGATCCGTATTCCTGCTGCTAGAATAACAATGAAGATAGAAAGCCTACCAAATAAAGAGCACAGTCATTGTCCTAATTCAAAAAAGCATGTGGGGCTTGAGTACGGTGTTTTTAAAGAGCTGTGCCATGCAAATGGAGTTACAAGCTACCTGTACGTGGTTGCAGAAAACTACAGTAAGATACACTGTGCATAAATCAAATAAAGTATTTTCATTCGGTGTAGAGACATACAATATTATAGTTGAACAGCCAAAAATTAATTCATTAATCTGTGGGAAAAAATTTCCATCATGGAAATACCGCAAATTCAGCAGGGCACTCTAAACATTGCAATTTGTTTTGCCTCCTTACAGCTGGAAGTGGGTGTGTATCTCACTAAGGATGGTGAATGCTCCTCTCTGTACCATCCATTAATCAAATTTCATTTTCACACTCAGCTGTAGAAGGTTGTGTAGATACTTGCAGTGTGACTGCCTGTTTTCTTTGATCTTAATCTCCTCAGTAGCTGTGATTGTACTTATCATCAAGGCTACAGAAATCTCAAAGGTAAATTTAAGAATATGAAGCAACACCATTCCAAAGTTTGTCACCTTAGAAGTGAAAAGATGAACTATCCATTCCTATTATTATTCTGACTACCAAAACTCTATAAATGTTCCCATTTTTCCTGGGAACTTTCCTGATTCTGGAAGGAGGTTTAGGTTAGGGCATGTGTATTAGCTACCCTTCCACCTTTACACAATCTTTAAAGAATCAATGATGTGACTGTTTGGGACATTGAGCCATTTCTGTAAAATGACTGTGGTCCTGCTGCCCTGTATTCTTGCTTGTTTGTCTCCATTCGTGTCTCTCTCTACACTTCTTGAAACTTGGTCTGCTCTAGAAGACATGGTGCAAACCTGTTCTGCTTAAGCAAGACCATTTTTTTCATGTCAGTTACTATATGAAAATGGTAAATATTGTGTTAAGCTTAGGTCAGCCCTCATATCTTAGGGAAATGATACCTGTGCACACAAAGTTTCTCGGAATCCTTCCTGAACAGATTGTCTTCAGACTGATTAAAATAATACAGGCAGTGCCAGCTGTGCTGGGCACACAAGGACTCTGTTGTTCATTTTTGAATTAGTCAGCCTCACGTGGTTTGTGATCCTTAGCTCATTGTACAAATACACACCACCAAGATGAAGGCAAGAATATTTAGTACTCCCACATAACCATTCAGTAAGATAGCTAATGGACAAATATATCTTCTCTTTATGAATGTAGCAGAAGCATGTAATTGTGATCAGTCCTGAAAAACTCAGCTAGCCTAGTAACTGAAGCTGGTTTTATTGTATTTAATAGCCTTAGGATGCATATAGTAGGTGTATTAGGTATTGTACTTGATTTTATTGAGAACTCATTGACAATCTGATTTATCAGCAAACTAGGCATTGCTATTTTTCATAATGTCACTGTATCATGGAACCAGTATTTGCTAAAATATAATTCTGATTTTCTCTTTCTAATGTCAAAGCGCCTGAGCTACTGTTCTTTCTGATAACTGAGAATTGCAATAATAAATATATTAATGTGTTTTGGCCATTGAGGTCAGAAAATTATGAATATATAAAGAGATAAACATGTCTGAGAATGCTTTTGCCAGCTCTTACGAAGTGTAGTAAAAATTCTAATAGTTTATATTGCAGACCTGTGAAATGACCTCAACATAGACTTGAGATTTATTAAGTAAATAATATAGTGATATATTGCTTGGTAATGATTTTCCCTGTGCTGGCATGTTGGTCCCATCACTCAAAAATTGTAATTTAATTTTAAATTATAAAGGGTAGGAAGGAATATGTCAGTCCATGTAGTAAGCATCTTTAAAGTGAATGAGCAAAAACTCCTCATCAATTTAAACACAAAGATCTGAAAAGTAACTTATCTGAACTATAATGTCTGAGTGCAATGCAGTTCCTGTAACCATTGTTAAGTTTTCCACATACTTTGACTCAAACTCTGCATTAGTGAGGAAACAAGGTGTTATTCACATAGCAACCTATTAACATTTCACGCCTCTGCTAGTACTT